CTGCCCGCATCTCCTCACCTTTCCCACTCTGGGCCCCTTACCCAGTCACTCCTCCTGGGCTCCCTTATACTCCGTCCCTGGTGTGCCTGTTTGGGGGAGTATCTGTAGTCTCAGCACAAACCACTTTCTGGGCCCCAAGAAAGAGGGCTCGGTTGTGGGGGTAGGGAGCAAAGCCAAGGCGCCTCTGGGTTCACGTGGCTGAGGACATGCAGGACGGGGTGAATGGACTTCCCTGGACCCCGAGGCTCAGAAGGGTGGGGAGGAGGGGGTCCCCGCGACGACCGGCAGGGGCGGAAGGGAGGCACGCGGCCCCAGCCCGTCCCTTTCAGGGGGGACTCATGCATCAAACTTCAATTTTCCGGACGATTGAATTAGTGATTTTTTTTCTCCTGAACTAAAATACACTTAAGTCTTTGGGATTAATTACCACGTTCTGGTCCCTCGGACTGGAGTATTACTTATCGGAGCTGCGTCTGACACCGGCCCGACACCTCGTAAAATAAGGAACTGCGCCTCCCGGCCTCACCCGGCGCCGACCGCCGGGCCGGGCCGGGCCGGGCCGGGTCGGGGAAAGCCGAGCGGGGAAAACCGAGACGCCGGCCTGCGCGGTGGGGCCCGGCCAGGCCGCGCGCCGCAGGGTCTTAGGCCGGGAGAGCAGAGAACTCCCGCGTCCTGGAGCTTGGCAAGCCGGGCGGAGGCCCCGCACCAAACAGGGAAGGAAGAAGCAAAGCCAGGCCGTTTCCCCCGCGCGGCCAGGAATCGAAAGTGGGTCGGCAGAGAGGCCAGAGTCCGCAGGGAAACTGCCTGCCACCGCCCCGGGCGCGGAAGGAACTCCGGCCAAAGGGCGGGTGGCCCAGAGGGTCCCGAGCCTTAACGAGTCTCGCCTCGAGAATGGGCGCAGGGCCCCCAGTCCCTCGCGCCATCCACGCCACGCTCACACGTACACTCACACGCGGGGAACACCACGGAAGGCGCGCGGCCCGCGCCCTCGGAGCGCACACAGGCAGTGCACACGGCTCGGCGGCCGCCCCCAACGCAGGCCCGGTCGGCGGCCGCTAAGAGGCCCAGGGCCGCGCTGGGATTCGAGGCCCTCTCACACCGCAGGTCCTGGTGGTAGCGCCCGAAGCGCGGCCAAGGCCATCCGAGCGCTCCCGTCAGAGCCAGGAGAGCTGAGGAGAGAGTGGGTCGGAGTCCAGGCCTCCCTGACTCCTAGCCCCTCGCTGCCGCCTACAGTAGCCCTGCCCACGGCTAAGTAGCTGCCGCCTCCCTGCGCTAAGGGGCCGGGACACTACCCCACGCGGCGGGGCTCGGTCGGACGGAGACTGGCCCAAACGGCCACGCGTGTTGGTAGCCGGGCTCCGGAAGCCCATAGGCAGCCTGGCGGAGGCTTCTCAACCAGCAGAGCCCAGGAGACTAATGGGGGACCGGAATTCGCCGCCCAAACTCTGCGCGACCCAACGGGCGCCGCGCTTTCCCCAGGCGTCCTCCGCTAGGCTCAGCCCAGGGCTCGGGCGTGCGCCTCTCTCCGCTTCCCACCGACGACCGTCTGGCCCTTCCTTTGCCCGCTCTTCTTTCTGACCTCTAGAAACAACGAATTCCTCCTCATCTTTCAAGGCCTGGGTCCAGTGCCACCTCCTCCGGGAAGCCCCCACCGCCCCAGCCCAGAGCCGGCTCTCGGAGTTCTGCGAAGGGCATTTCCCTGTCCCTCGGCTCAGGCCTCCTGATAGCGCCAGGGGTGGGGGGGTGCGATGGGGCTCGTCAGCTAGACTGGGAGCTCCTTGAGGGCAGGAACTGGATCTGATTCGTTTCCATTTCCCCAGCCCCCAGCGCGGCCTGGCGCAGAAAAGACGCACAATAAACATTTGCTGAACGGAATGGATTTTCCCCTTTATTTTATTAATCCTTCCCCTTCCTTTTTTCCTTCTTTCTTTTCCTCCTTCCTTCCTCCCTCGTTATTTTTTATTTCTTGGTTATATTCAATTGTCATGTTTTTCAGGCTCATTAAATCCATTTAGAGACAAAAGAATAAAAGGCAGAAGGGGAAGGAGGGGGAGGAGGGAAGGGGGAGGGGAGGGGAGGGGAGGCCGGAGAAGCAAACAAATAACCCGCTTTAACTAGACGGGCGGATAAATGGCCCCGTTTCTCCTCAGCCCCGATGCGCCTGCTTAGCTGCGCGCCCCGCGGGCGCCGCAGCTCGGGTGGGCTCAGCCCCGGGGCCGCCGCCCCCAGCCCGGAGGAACCCAGCAGGGCCCGGCCCGGGGCCGCGAAGCAGCGAGCGGCCGAAGGTGCCAGGGCCGCTTCATTGGGATTCATGGGCGTGTTGGGCGGGCGGCCCCGGGCTCCGGGCGCAGGGCGGGGGCCGGGCGCAGGGCGGGGGTGCGCACGGCGGGCGCAGATGCCCGGGTGACCGCCGCGCCGCGGTCCCCGCGCCGCCTTTGTGCCGGGGAGGCGCGCGCGGGGACCTAATCCATCAAATTGTCTACAAATTGTGAAGAAAATTCAAAAACCATATGGTCGCCAGCGCCGGCGCGCTCTGGGCTGCGGAGGGCCGCGGCCGCGCCCGCACCCGGAGCCGCGGGGGGCTGGGCCCGGCTATTGTCGCCTGTCAGCGGCCGCCCGGGTCCATTCGTCCCGGCCTTCATGGTCCGCGCTCCGAATTACAGACCCATCCATCCTGAGAGAGGGCGATTTATGTCGCCCGGGAGGAACCGGCCGCACGCCCGCCTGGCTGCCCCGCCGCCTCTCCTCCTTTCGTTCTCTCCTCTCTCTTCTCCCCCTTTCCCATTCCCTTCCCATTCCCTTCTTCTCCGTCTTGATCACTCAGTCTCTGCCCAAGCGAAGCTTTTTCTCTTTCTCCTCCCAACCCGGCCCCCCGCCGCCGCCCCTGTCTCCGAGGCTCCCGCTTTCTTGCTCTGCTTTTGGAGTGTCTTTCTGTGCTCCTTTTTCTGTTTTTCTCTCTTAGTTTCCTCCTGGACACGCACGCTCCCGACTCAGGCCTCGGGGCCCCATCGCCTGCCCGAGACCAGATGCGCATTTCTCACATCAATTTTGCGGAGAAAGAGAGCCTAGCGGCCCGGAGGCGGGCCCCTCCTTTGGTGACAACGGCCACTCGCCAGCCCAGCGTCAACAAAAGCCCAGAGAGAAACCCGCTCTGTCCGGAAAAGTGAAAGCTGCCTGCGTCCCTGCCCCAGCCGCCCTGGGGGCGCTGGGATCCCAGAGAGTCCTGGGGGATTGACGTCTGTGCCCCCAGCTGAGTTTGCAGGGACCAGAATTTTTGAACGTTGCCAGAAATTCACCCCAACTGTCAGAGCTTCGGGCTCACACCTCCCTGTTCGAGTGTGCGCGATTCAGCTTGCGCTTGGTGCCGCTGGCCTCATTTTCCTCCCCCCCCCCCCCCCTGCAAGGGCAAGGCCCTCCAGCAGAACCAAAACTTGGGAGCCCTCGGGCTGCACCCTGCTGCCCACTGAGCTATACCTGAGGTACACAGGACGCTTAGCCCGCGTCCCGCAGAACGGGGGAAGAATGCCCTGGAGTGGGCATGGGATGCACAGAACGCAGGGCTAGTCCCCCACCTACTCTCCGTTTCCCCCCCAAATTAACTTCCCATCCACGACGCCCCCAATGTATGCACTCTTTCTCCCAGCAATGCACACGCCTCACTTTTTACCCCGTCCTGGCGAAGACCGCTGCTTTCGCCCCCATCCCCAATTTGGTAGCTGCCCCGTTTCCAAGCCGAAGCACCCTCTCCTCCCGCTTTCCCCGCACCCCTTATCCTCGCCCCTGCCTCGAAACTCCTCCAAAATCCAAGGCCAGGGCAGCCGACAGCAAGCCGCGGAGAGACACCGAGCATGCCGGCAGCTTCCCTGAATAGAGCCCACTCATTCAGACACGGTCACCGCCGGTTCTAGTAAAATGGCAAAGACTTTATTTATCGGAGAAAGAGGCCTTGGGTACAGTCCTGGGCGGAGAGGGCAGGGCAGGAGCAGGGAAGGGGCACGCGGGACCCACCCTCATCGAGTCACCCCTTGTCTGGGCAAGTGGAGCCAGAAGCAGGGCGTTGGAGACTGCAGTCACACCCAGAGCTGTGGAGGAGGTGGGGCGAGGGCTTCGGGTGGCCTCCTCTCAGTCTCTGTCACATGCAAAAAAATTCTAAAAAGAGTAAAAAATAATTCTAGGGCTTTGGGTTCCGTTTTAGTTGGTTGATTGGTTGGATTTCTCCCTGCTTTGTCCTGAAGACCCGGACCCCAGCAGTCAATCCAAGGAAACCGAGAGAGGGCCAGGAGGAATCTTAAAAATAGCGTTAGTGGGGATCGGGAGGCAGAAATGGCATCGAAAACAGACTTCTGCGGACTGGAGGGTAGGGGGGAGAAAAGATCGATTTCGAAACTTGCAAGTCAGGCCCCGGCTGTCCTCCTCAGCCCCTTCCCACGCCACGGGAAAAAGGGCAGAAGGAAATAAAAGAAGTCAACTGCAGTAGGCCTAGGGAGGCGAGGAGGAAGAGGGCCAGTGCATTCGCCACATGCAGAGAAAAATCAAAACAGTCGGGGTGGGCCCCTCCTCCAGACCGCGGGATTCAGGGTTCGTTACCCTCGATAGTGCCTCGCCCTCAGCAAACCCAGCAGCCCGAGAGCTTGGAAAACATGGAAATCTCCGAGATTTAAAAAAATAAAAGAAAGAAAGAAAGAAAAAAGTCAGGCCGAGGTCGGAAGAACCCGCTATATAAGTTTAAATATTTATACAGGAGCCATACAGAATTGCACGGCGAGGGCTCCCGGGGCGGCGGAGGCCGCGCGCGGCGGCCGGCCCGGCCGGCCAGCCCGGGTTTATTGCTTCGAGAGGGAGGAGGCGGCTGCCGGGAGCTGAGTCCGGGCCAGAGACTGGGGGGAGAAGGCGGGAGTTGCAGAGGAGGTCCCAGCTCCCCTTGGCTGTCCGGCTGTCCGGGAGGCGGCGGGCGTACCGGCGCTTAGGGGCCCGGCCCGGCGGAAGATCCCGGGCGCCGCTCAATCGTCCACGTCGATCTCTTCGTCTTCCTCGTCCTCTGAGCAGTCCTGGCTGCTGGCCGGCTGGTCCGTGAGCGGGGAGGCTGGAGAGAGCTGCAGGGGCCCGGCGCCCGGGGCCTGCGGGGCGCCTGGAGGGAGCGCCGGAGAGCCAGGCCTCGACTTGGCCCTGCCGCAGCCGCCGCCACCGCCGCCCGCGGCCTCCGAGTTCTGCTCGAGTTCCGCCAGCGTCACGATGTCCATCTGCCCGCTGGGGCCCAGTTTCTTGGCGGACTCCACGTCGGCCTTCATCTCCTCCAGGTCCCGCTTGAGCTTGGCGCGTCGATTCTGAAACCAGGTGATGACCTGAGCGTTGGTGAGGCCCAGCTGCTGCGCGATTTGATCGCGATCCGCCGGGGACAGGTACTTCTGGTAGAGGAAGCGCTTCTCCAACTCGTAGATCTGGTGGTTGGTGAAGGCTGTTCGCGACTTTCGCCGCTTCTTGGGGGTCTGCCGCTGCCCGAAGATGGTCATCCCGTCGCGGCCTGCAAGGAAACCATAGGATAGGCTTGCGCCAGAAAAGAGGAGACCACACCCCGGCTCTAGTTCACCCCACCCAGGCCCGTCCTGCCTGAGGTCTGCTGCAGTTCCCTTCTCGGATCTGATTCGGCCTCCCTCCAGGACTAGGGCAAGACTCGCTTAAAGCAAACCTCCTTTCCCCCACCGACTGTCTACCGGAAGTCTCTAGGAGAAATTGTTTTAGTCTCTGCTCCCCACCTAAGAGTTGATTTGAAAGACCCGAGGTCGCTAGAGCACAACGGAGCCAGACAGGGACGCCCTGACTCCCGGGTAAATGTTGGTTCTACGCCTCTTCCCAGTCACCCCGACTCTCCCCGTACCAAAAAAGTCCTCCTAGCTGAAAGGCTCTCGGTTCTCCAACCCAGCAACAGGGCGAGGAGCGCCCAGGCCACTGGGAACGGGAGGGAGCCAAGCAGAGCAGGCAAATTGCGGAAAGGTCTTGGGTTCCCGCCACCCCTCCTGGGTCACTGGACTCTGGCCTATCCAGAGGTCCCTAGAAAATAAGGCTTGGGTCCTGTCCCACTCATTTCCACTCCCAGCGGCAGCGGCTTGGGCTGGAGGGCCCTGACGGCAGGCGCGGGAGGAGGCGGCAAGAGGCACAGGGCACAAAGAGTGGGGCACAAGGAGCGGGGCTTGGGGTGCTGGGCGCAGGGGAACCCAGCGGCGGCGCCTACCTTCGGCTGCCTGCAGGACGCTGACCTCCAGCCCCTTAAAGGTCTTGCTGGCGAGCTCCTCCAGTGCGCACAGCGGCGAGGTCTGCGAGAGCAGCGCGCGGCCCGCCAGGGGCAAGCCGCCCGGCGCGTGCTTGTCCGCGGCCGCCAGCAGGTGCGCCGCCCCGCACAGCGAGTAACTTCTCCGCACAGACGGCTTGTTGAGGATGTCCTCAATGCTGAACGGAGTCAGCGGCTTGTTGGAGTTGGCGGGAGGCGGCAGGTGATCCAGCGGGCTGCGCCGCCGCTCTTCCCCCGGCGCCGCCTTGCCATCCTCCTTGGAAGTCATCTCGGCCTCGTTTGGGGGCCCGGCCGGGGCGGCTCGGGCCGCGGGGACCCAGCCCGCGGGCAGCTCGGGCGCCGGGCGGCGCGGGTGGGCGGCAGCGGCGGGTGGGAAGGAGGCCGCGCCGGGCAGGCGCGGGGCCGGGCGTGGGGCCGATTAGCGCAGCGGCAGAGGCGAGCAGAGCCGCACGGGGCCCCGGGAGGAGGGCGCTGACGCGGGCGCCGCCGCCGCCGCCGCCGGGGCTTCCAGCAATCCGGGGCCGGAGCCGGGGCGCGCCGCGCGGGGCTCCAGTTTCGCCAGCCCCGGTGCTATTTAAAGGTGTCAGGTGGCTCCGCGGCGGCTCCTGGCCCCGGGTCCTGGCGGCGGCAGTTGGAAAAGCCGAGGCGAGGGCGCCGATCCCGTACTGCGAGGGGAGGCGGAGAGATGGGGCAATTGACTATTGCTAACAAGTTAGCCTTGATCGAGGAGTAATCAATTATCTGCAACGGCACTTCTCTATTTCTCTCTCCTTTCTCCCTTTCTCCTCTCTTCTTTCTCTCTGTTCTCTCTCCTCCTGTTCTCTCTCTCCCTCCCTCTCTCTCTCTCTTCTCTTCTCTGCTCCCCCCGTCTCTCTCCTTCTCTCCCTCTCTCTCGCCCTCTCTTTCACTCTCTGTCTGTCCAATGCAGGCGGCTCTAAGTTGGGAAGCTCATTAATTAGCGGGCCGGGGGTAGGAGGAGCCGGCTGGAATTAGCCTGCCTAATGCGCCTGTCAGTCCGGGCGCTGCGCCGCGCTCGGCCCGAGCTGTTTGTAAATTACATTAGCGGCGCCTTTATTGCACCCGAACCTCGGGCGACTCAAAAGCCGCCGCCCCCACCCCAAACTGCGAGCCTCGCTCCCGGCGCACCCGCCTCCCGCCGGCCTGGCTGCGCTGGTAGCGCTGGCCCGGAGGTCTCAGGCTCTCCGACCCGGGATTTGGCGCCCGAGAAGGGCGGCGTGAGCCCAGCCGGAGAGGGACGCGGCCGCCGCGCGGGCCAGGTAAGACCAGGAGTCTGGGTGGGCCCCGTCGCTGACCAGTGCAGACTTTGCCGAGCTGAGATCAAGGACCCAGCGTCCCTACCCCTCGACCCTCCTGTCGGTCACCCCCGGCCTTGGTCCTTGCGCCTGGGAAGAGGGAATCTGCAGCTTCCAGGCTGGCCCGCGGGAGGTCCGCGCGGGTGCTGCAGCCCTGGGTGAGGCTACACCGGACCGGGGTGGAGGACCCCAGGGGTTGGGGAAGGGGGTCAGCCAGAGGACTCAGTCTTCCCCAGCCGAGAGGCGGAGGGGGAGTTATCGGTGGCTCCAGGCACCTCTCCCCCGGCCTGAGCCCAATGCGACAACCTTACCTCTTCCGGCAGTCTTGCACACTCCTCGGGCCACGGTTCTCCCAGCCGGCTGGGGCCACGGGCCTGCCTGGTGACCGACCGGCGCCCGACCGGGCAGCCGGGCCGGTTGCCTGGGCTAACGGGGTCGGCTCGGGGCCTCCCCGCTGAGCTCTGCCCAGGCCCCGGCCGGGGCCCCGCTGCCGGCCCCGCCCAGCCCAGCGCCGGGCTCCAGTACACCGCCCGACTCCAGCTGTTCCGGATGCGGGGCGGGGGCCCGGAGGGGGCCGGGCCACGGCTGGGGCTGCACTCCCAGGAACCCGCAGGGAAGCCGGGTTCGAGTCAGACTGGGGGCTGGGAACCCTACGGGCCCGACTCCTGTACATCAGGCAAGCATTTGTGCGAATCGGTATTTGAATGTGTTTACATTTTTAAATATGTACATTTGTGTGGGGTTCGTGATGTGTATATTTGTGTAAACATGTGTAACCTGTGGGTATTTAGGCGTGTTTGGACCCTACCTATGTCTTTCATTCCCCCAGAGGCACCCAAAGAGGCTGTACCCCCAGGCTCTTTTTACTCGTTTCCCTCCCTTGGTTTGTATGGGGCGTTGGCCCCACCACTGGATTTTCCGGGTCTGCCCCTGAAGAAAGGAGGGGAACAAGAGGGCGGTGGAGCCAAGGGTGCTGTTTCCCTCCCCACATACAGCCTCAGCCCTTTTCCTGGCTTTGTTTGTAAACTCCTGGCCAGCCAGTGTGGTCTGGCAGCCCTGCTAAGTCAAGAGAAGGGCCCAGAGAGGCCAGTGGAGAGCACTGTGGCCCAGGCTAGAGGTTAGGATGGGGAGAATAGGACCTTTTGGGCTTCTTGGACCTCCTCATACTGCCCCAGAGAGTTAGGAAGCCAAGCTGGGCTGCGGGGCAGGGGGCAGGTGTTCTCCCGGGATGCCTTCCTTCCTGCACAGGGGCCTCTGAGCAGCAGAGACCGGTTTCTTTATCTCCTGTTTCGTTGTTTGTTTGAGGCAGAGCTTGCAGCTCCCCAGAGAAAAAGGGACAGCGTAGGGAGAAAAGATTCCTGTTTGGGACCCCAGTGCCTGCCCTCACCCTGGTTGGCAGTATCAGGAAGAGTTATTTACCCTCTTTCCTGTCTTTTTCGTGCATTTGCGAGGACAGGTGCTCAGAGGCAGGAATGGTGAGAATGGGATTCTTAATTCCCCTGGAGCGGCAAAATTGTCTTCAAAGCAGGCCTGTCTCTAGTGCATCAGCATTGCTCTGAAGCCATGAGATGATGCTGGGCCTGGCAACGGGGCGGAGTCAGAGTTGAGAGAGGTGGAGAGGAACCTGGGAGAGAAGGAGCCCGGGAGCCTGGTGCACACTCTGCTGTCTTGGAAGCTTGGGGACTGGGAGGGGTCTGCCCTCTCATCTCACTTCCTGCTCTCAGGATCCTGCTTCAGCCTCTGCCTCCCAGCCCTTTCCCACCGTAATCCCCAAAGCCCTGATCCAGAGCCTCAGGCAAGTCACTCCCCCCCCATTCCCCCACCCCTGACGACCCTCCCCCCCATCCTCCTGTACTAGAGAGAAGGTCTCTCTAGAACAACAACTCTTGAGTCCCTGTCCTGGAAGGAGCTCCATCCCATAACCCCCCACCCCCACACCGCTGTTCTTCCTGCCTGCTCCTAATATTGGTCTGCAGGACAGGATCTTAAGGACAACCTTGCTGTTGTCCCTTCTCCAGTCCCTCAGGAACAGTGGAGTTCAGTGTTACAGTGAAGCTGCCAGGAAGGTGAGGAATGTGAATCCGGGAGCAGAGGGACAGGAGGGTAAAATTCCTTCAATGGGGCCCTGTTTCTGGGGATCTTTAGTCTTCGGCCACATCATGTCAAAGTAGACAGGACATTCCACAATCGTTTGCTATCTTACCTCTTATACCCACCGTGGCCAAACCTCTTTTTCCTGCAGCCCAATCTGAAGGCTTTGTTTTTAGCCTAATTGGCTGGACTCCGGGCCAAACAGCTCCAGTAGGCACTGCTGGGGGCTCAGGGGACATATGGTGCCACCCACCCATTTTGTTGTTTAGGGTCCCTTACTTCTCTATTGCCTCATCCAACCTATGTCAAAAACCAGACTGTCCACTGAGCTTTTCCCAACCCTGCAGTTTCCCCCACTCCAGACTCCAATGTGTGGGCCGCTAAGGTCTTCTGAACTCCTAGAAACCCAAATTTTCTGGCTTCCTCTCCGGCAGAGCAGGGGGCTGTATCTTGGGTTTGTAGTCAGACTCACTCCCTCTCCTCCTAGGGGGGGAGATCCTTGAGGGCAGGGATCTTGATCTGGGGATTCCATCTACCCCAGACCCATGTGGACAGGCAGGTACCTGGGGCCCTCCCTGGACAGGTTGAATAGGCTTTTTGATCAAATGGAGTATAAATGATTGTGTATTATGGAGGGGGGGAGGCTTGGGCCTTGACTGTCCCCCCTCAGAGTTCTGGAGATGATGAAAATTAGGGGAGTAATTCAGGGACAGTGTAGGGGGGAAAGTGGGGGCCAAGGAAGTTTGCCATTGCTCTCGGGGCTCTAATCCTGCCCAAGCCCCTTCCTGGGATCCAGTGCTGGGTTGGGAAGACACTCTGGGGTCTCCCACCCCCAGTCAGCTGAACCAGTGTCATCTCCCATGAAGCTGGAAGCAGTTGGTCCCTGGAGTCTGCCGCATGGGAATGCCTATCTTCAGAGCCTAGTCTGTACTCTATCCTAACTCTTGAATTGCTGCTTGCTGTCTCTGAGGGTCCAGGGTCCAGCCTTATTCTGTCTTCAGCGAAAGGGGGAGGGATTAGTCTGGCAAAAATCTGCCCCCCCCCATTTAGTGACTATTTCAGACAAAGAGGGAAACAGCATTGCATGAACTGCCAAGATAAGTGGACCCTGTAGACCCAAACAAGATGTGTTATTCCTTAGCACAAGAGCTAATTCAAGTAAACCCCCAAATGTCCCATCAGCTTTAATCCAGATTGTTTGGGTAGCCCCATTTGTTTCCAGATTATTTGTGTAAGCACCAACAATGGCCCTCAGGCCAGAGCTCCCCTTAGAAAGAAAGGTTCTACACTGCTTGAAAGGAATTAACTTGACCACCAATTGGGATCACTTTTGCCCCCCCACACCCCACCCCGAACTGCTACTCTGACACTCCTTGTGGGATTCAGCGTGTTTCTTCTGCTTTAGAAGTAGACTCCGATAGGATAGATGGCCTCCTGCCTCCCTGGCTGAACCAGGACTGCCCACTTGGTTTTTATATTCTGCCCTGGGCCACGGTCAGCAGTAAGAACAACAATAACCATGACAATAAACGCTGTAAGCCCTTACTGTGTACCTGGCTTCAGGCTAAGAGTTTTATTCATTTCATTTATTACTCACAACCCTGTGAGTAATAGTGGCTACTGCTATTACCCCAGTTTTATGTATAAGGAAAATGAGTCCCAGAGAAGTTAAGTAACTCAGCCAAAATCACACAGCCTGTTTTGGAATAATTAGGATTTGAAGACTGGTTTTTCTGACTCTAAGTGTAATCCCAGAACCATGGGGATTTTAACCAGAGCCCCCCTCCAGGGCTCTCTGAATGCGCTTCCGGGGCTCTGGGGATCCCAGAAATTGTGTGTAAAATTATGGGAGTGAGCCCAAGCAGGCACATTTC